AAAAAAAAAAAAAAAAAAAAAAAAAAAAAGAGCAAAGGCCCCAAGAGAAACACGGGCATGGTGCGTGTGAGGACAACGAAGACCAGAGCAGCTGGGGCTGTGTGCCACCCAGCGGGGGGAGGTCCCGGAGGAGGTGGGAAGGGCAGGTGCGGGGCTCCTGTGAGGCTCTGTGGGTCACGGGAAGGAACCGCTGGGAGTTTCAGGAAGGGGACAATGTGATCTGTGTCCATTTTGAAAAGGCGTCTCTGGTTGCTGGGGGGAGGATGGTGGGGAACACGGGAGGGAGGGAGACACTAGGCGGGAGGCCCTGCGGTCACAGCTGTCCAGGGGGGAGGTGACAAGGCTGGTCAGATCACACATATGCCTTCTCCAGAGCTGCCCCCGCCAGGCCCCGCAGGCAGAAAGGAAGGCTCACTTGGAAGCTTTCCTTCAACAAAGCTAATGCTGACGAGGTTAGCTTTGCTTGTTCCCTTCTAATCTACTCCGGAGGCTTTAATTGCTCTCTCCTGGGGCCAGAACACAATCTCAGAAACGAATACAAATTGGCATCTGTAACCTCACAGGACTGCCTCAAGAAAGTCTTTCTAGATCCACTACCCGTGTGTACATATACACAGATGTGTATAATACCAAGTGCACAGACATCTATGTATGTGTGTGTGCCTTAACCTCACAAAGGGAGATTTCCATTGTAAATCAGATATTGAAGTTTTATTTTAAAGTAGTCCAGAATATAAATTATTGGCTTCATCGATTTAGAGGGATCCTACTATGGAGTCCTTATGTGAATTTGTATATTCTTCCTTTTCCCTTCAAAAGGGAAAAAAAAAAAAAAAAAAAGCATAATGAGAGTAAGAAACAGAATCCTGCCCAAAGCAGTATTTTTAAACAATGGCATCGACAAGGAGAAGGAAAACCCAACCTACCTCTGCCTCGATTTCCGCTTGCCTCTTCTCCAAGAGCTTTGCCACAGCCATGGCCCTGTGCTTGCCTGATCTCTTACAGCTCACGGCCCATTCGCACAGCAGCGTCACCACAGCTTCATCGCTGGGGGCAGCCTAACGACCAACAGAAATGGGTACCAGCCATGTCACATGAAACAGTCACCTGATGCACGAGACTTCGGCTGCAAGCCACAGAATATCTGAAGTTTGAAGCTTTCTTCTTATATTGTTTTACATTTGTTTTAGAAATGTCCCCAAATCTATTTTAACTGAGGTATAAAGAGTAAAACGTCAGTCATCGGGAAGGAAATCACTTTCTTAGAACAGCTGAATCTGTGACAATTCCAAGAAAATGAAGTTTCCTTGTATATGCTTTCACTTACACAGGACCATAAGCCAGCCCCATCAAGCCTCCAGAGCTCAATTTCAAAGGAAACAGAAAAGGAGACCGACCAGTGAATATCAAGGACAGCTGTTACAAAGCCCAAGTGCTTCACTCCACCGCTGAGCCCCTTGGGTCCTCACTCACCACCTCAGTCAACATAATCCCAACGAGCCAGGCTAGCGGGTCTCCCCGTCCAAGGAGGAATTGGAAGGAACAAACTGGAGGGCAGGCCGGGATGCTGATCAAAACTCACAGCCTTAGAGACAACAAGCATGAAGAGTGACAGCCAGGCACAGAAAGGAACAAGAGTTACAAGCAGACCCAGTTAACAGAGGACGGTAGCCTGGATCTGGGGAGGGCTCAGCACTGCCACCAGAACTATCAGCTCTAGCTGCCATGGCCCAGAGATGGGTACCACAGACTGAGGACCAGAAGAGTCAGACAAAAGCCACAGGGACCCAAGTGACATGAATTGCGGGGGCAGAGGGGGTGTAAGTAAGCAGGGGGATCGTCCCTCTATACAAGCGCACCTTTCCCCGCAGAGGAGCTGTGCCAAACACTGAACATCAACTGCTCCTTTTTAACATCTGCCCAGTTGTATAAACACTATGCCAAAAGAACCAGACAAATGCCAGTACTGGCATTTATATGCTATGTGAGACGCTCTTAACTTTTTAAAATCCCCCATAAGCTCAATTAAGGTTATGATAGCTGGGAGCACACTCTCAGGAAAAATACACGTATACACACATGCACTTTAGCACAACACTTCAGAAGGTGTGAGGACTCTGAGAAGACATCCAAGAATCCTTGATCAGCTTTTAGATACCAGCAGACAATTCAGATCATGAAAATCAGTTTATTCTAAGATTTTTACCCATCCTACCCTAAGTTCGGTTAAACACGTGCTGACTTAAAGAAATGTTATCTGGGGCAGATATCTCAAAAGGAGCTCTAAGCCTCTTAATTTAAAACCAAGAGAAATAATTCAATTACAATGTATAAAGGTTGAACATAACATTTAAAAAAGAAAGCAGGGCTTCCCTGGTGGCGCAGTGGTTGAGAGTCCGCCTGCTGATGCAGGGGACACGGGTTCGTGCCCCGGTCCGGGAAGATCCCACATGCCGCGGAGCGGCTGGGCCCGTGAGCCACGGCCACTGAGCCTGCACGTCCGGAGCCTGTGCTCCGCAACGGGAGAGGCCACGACAGTGAGAGGCCCGTGTACCGCAAAACAAAAAACAAACAAAAAAAAAAAACACACACAAAAAAGAAAGCAAGCTGGGAGGAATTCCTGCCTGGATTCAATCCAATCCTGGGAAAAGCAAAAAATATAAAAGTCAATGCAGTGAAGCACCGCATGCTTAGATTTAGAATATTAAAGAGAACAAAAGGATTTATTTTAAAAATACTGCCATCAGTTCTTAATAAATTCATCGGTCAGTAATGTGCATTATATCTACATTTACAGAGTTTTTTTTCCCTCTGCATCATCAACCAAAATGAAAATGTGCTACAAAAGAATAACTGACTCACCCAACGTTAAGTAATAAGCTCTGCTTGACCTAGAAATGCACAGAGAAAATTATATAAAGGAAAAGACTTCTTTTTAACACATCCAGATATTGACCACTGGTTTGGGGCAGAAAGGTGCTAGAAAACAAGTCTTGGGAAAGAGAGAATTCACTTTCAGAAACACTTACTAAGCACCCAGGATATGCCAGGCATTGAGGAAATAAAAATTTTAAAGATCTGGCCCTTGTTCTCAAAAAGTTCACCCTCTAGTGGGAAAAGCAGAAAAGCAACTAATCATAAAGCAACAAGCTGTTCTGAAGGTGTGGGGAGGAAAGTGACTAAGTTAAGGCCCCGGCACCTTCCACATCTCATAGGCGATGAGATGTGCCGGCTTACAGACATCTGAGATACTAACTTGAAGACACATGGGCCTGCAGTCTACCTGCTGCAGTTGTGGCCTCAATATGTAATTATTAGGAATTAAGTGAATTAAGAACATCAGGGGGAAACGCTGCTACAAGACTGAGTTTTAAAATATAAAATTTTAATTATGCCCATAAACAGTTATACATTTCAAAATCTATTTTCAAACAATAAGTATTTTCCAGATTCCAAAAGTGCAAAGTCCACCCTTTTCTGAATATCAAACAGCCTGCCAAATGAGGCCACTATTTCCTGAGGATACTGGAGTGGTGGGGAGGGAAGAATTGGCAGGCTCAGTGCTGATTTTAAAAGAAACAGTAAGCTACTACTAAAGAAGTTTTAGGACTAACTTCTCAGAAGATCATATCGGAAAATCAGGTGATATTATACCAACTTCAAGGCAAGCTGTCTCTGCAATATAAATAATTACATATTTATATACTTGAGTCATAAGGCGTTTTCATTCTTTACTATTGAAAAATTGTTATAACATAAATTTTTAAAATTTAGCGTTGCTTTCTGAGGTAACTTCCCATTCAAACATCCCTTTCCCCACTATTTACTACAAAATTTTGGTTCATATTTTAAGTGGTTTTACCAAGAGGTCTTTTCTAGATTCCACTAATTATCAAAAATGAGGAGGGGCCCCTGCTTACTTCACTCTAAATACCAGCTCTAGGGTACACCCCATCAGACACGTTCAAGAGGTATATAGACAGACAACCATGCACAGATACCTCATACCCCACCACCCAGAGCCCTGCCACTGCTCTGCTCTAGATAATTTTTAGAAAATTATTAGAGGATGGCTTCCATTTGTCTGCCAGATGCTATCTTACAAATTAATTCGAATAACTGTCAAAAGGACACCATGGCTTCAAATATGGAAGTTGAAACGCATTCTCATCCTGTAAACAGATGTCTAAAAATATTAAACTCCCTTTCTTTAAGGCAACCAATAACTGTAGAGTAGAATTTAATAAATATTATTTTAAAACAAAATAACTTCAAGGCAAAAATTTGAGGTAATTTAGCAGCTCAAGATATGAACTAAATATAGGCCCCTGCCTTCCACGAGATGGCAGTTAAGTGGGACAGATGTACACGTATATAAATACATACATGTATATAAATAATTTGGAAGCATAAAAAAAAGAAAACGAAAATTATCGCAGACTGAAGGGAATTATTAGATGTTTCTTTTAGAAGGTGGCTTTCCAGAAAAATTTTGAGGAATGAATTAAATTTCAAAACTGAGACGCACAGGGAATTCCCTGGCGGTGCAGTGGTTAGGACTCAGTGCTTTCACTGCCGGGGCTTGGGTTCAAATTCTGGTTGGGGAACTAAGATCCCACAAGCCACAAAAAAAAAAAAAAAAAAAAGAGAGAGAGAGAGAGAGAGACGGGAGAAAAAATGGAATTAAAAAAACAAACAAAAACTGGGATGAGCAAAAGGATAAATAAGTGTATGGTAGGTAGAATAATCTCCCTCCCCCACCCCAAAGATGTGCACATCCTAATCTCAGGACCTGTGAATATGTTACTGTAAATGACAAAAGGGGATTGTGTAGTAGTTGTGATTGAGACAAGGGTCTTGAGAAGAGGCGATTACCCTGCATTATTTGGGTGGGGGCTCAATGTAATCCCAGTGGAGCTTGTAAGGGAAAGGGAAGGCAGGAGAGTCAGAGGAAGACATGCGACGATGGAAACAGGAGTCAGAGGCAGGGAGAGATTTGAAGATGCCACACTGTTGACTTTGAAGATGGAGCAAGGGGACACAAGGTAAGGAAGGCAGGTGATGTCTAGAAGCTGGGAATGCAAGGAAACAAATTCTCCCCTAGAGCCTGCAGAAGGAACGCAGCCCAACTGACCCTTTGATTAGAGCCCAGTAAGATCGTAACCTCCAGAACCAGTAAGAGAATACATCTGTGCTGTTATAAGACATTAAATTTCTGATAACTTGTTACAGCAGCAATAGGAAATTAATTCAAAGAAGTTTTAAACAAACACACAAAAAGTAGTGTTGAGGTTCAAGGAATTATAAGGGCAGGGGACTGCTGTTTAAAGGGCAAATATAGGAAGGCTACAATACGGTATTAAAAATCTAGGGAAAAAAGTTTAATGAAAACCCACGGAAGAAGAGTTCCACGAACTAGGTAGTAGCCTCATTAATACATTTACTTATTAATTCATCAATAAATATGCATTGCCACCAGGCCCTCTTCTAGGCATTAGATATAAACAGTCTCATGTATTACTGCGTAGGAATAAAAGTTGGTATTTCCCTTTTGGGTGAAATGTCTGCCATATAACAAGAGTCTTTAAAATGTTCCCATTATTTGCTTCAAGAATTCAATCTCTGAGACTATATAGTTCAAGGCAATTATCTTAAAGCAAAATGATATGAGTCCTCTAGGCATCAGTGAAGTATGATAGCAAGATACTCCCCCCTTCCCAGCTCCCCAAACTGACAAAGTTTTCCTCTGAAATTTTAAAGAGTCACCTAAAGGATCAAATCGGAGAAAACCAGGTGACCTTACAGGGAGAGAAAGGTCCACACAGATGACTGACAGGCCAGAGAATCTGTCTTCAGCAGTGGAACCATGGAAATTTTTGTGATGGTGTTTTTGTTTTTATTTCTATTTTTCTGCAGGCAAAGAGCAATATTTCAATATCTAGCTTAAGATGCATAAATAGGAGAGGCAGATAAGACAGGCTTGTAACGGAACACAGGAGAGGGGAAGTCAGAGGTGCATGATTACCAGCAAAGCTCAAATCCTACCAAGAAGAGTTCT